AGGGTTTCGAATCGTCAAACGTTGACTTTGGTCGCAACGCGTTGATTGGCGTTGACCTAGGGTTACGCGTTGACCGGCGTTGACCCTAGAGTTTTGAATCGTCAAACGTTGACTTTGGTCGCAACGCGTTGATTGGCGTTGACCTAGGGTTAAGCGTTGACCGGCGTTGACCTAGGGTTACGCGTTGACTGGGGTGTCTTGGCCAAAACCGTGGTTCCCCCCCCCTCTTTTCTTCTTTCTTTTGAATTTCTTTCCTTTTTTGTTTCCCCCTCTTTCCAAAATTCAAAAAGATTCCCTCTCTTTCTAAAGCTCTTTCTTCCTCCTTTCATCCTTCCACCATTGTTTCCTTTCTTTCAAGAACTCAAAACCCATAAACTCCATAAAGAAATTTCGGATTTTGGTGTTCTCTCCTTGGCCGAAATTTCCTCTCCTCCAAGCTAGGGTTTCTCCTTCATCTCAAGTTCAAAGGAAGCTTCTTGGTTTTGGGTAAGCTTCTCCTCCAAAAAAAACTCTCTCAATTTTTGGCAAAAATTGAAACTTTATACATGTAATGAGGGTATGCCACGAATTTGTATGCAAAGATCATAGCTTTTTGTTCTCATGAGTTAGAGGATAGGCTCTTTGATGATGAGTTGTGTATGCACAAGAATTTGGGGGGTTTTATGTAAAATCCACAATATGGCCGAATTTGAGGGGCTTTTGTGCAAAATTGGACTGAAATTTGAGGGTTTTTTATGCAAAGGGGGCTGACATTTAGGACTGAAATTTTACTCCTTTTGGCCGAATTTGAAAGGTGCTTTTATGCAAAAGAATCGACATTGTTTGAGGGGTTTATTTGCAAAAAGCAACCCACAAAGTGTAGAGGGGTTTATTTGCAAAAGGGCTGACTGAAATTCCAAGAATTTAGACCACAAACCCATGACTAAAGTTTTGAGAAGGGTATGCGAAAACCAAACCGAAATTTGTGGAGGGGTTTATTTGCAAATTTGGCTACATTTTACAAAAGGGTTTATTTGTAAAATTAACCAAAATTATGGGATGTTGGGGGTGCTAGATGAACAAATATGATGACCATGACCCAACTCGAGCGTGTCCTTGACCCGAATTTAGCCTTGAACACAAAGGGTATTTTGGGTATCTCACCAAAGTTCACTGCGAAAAATGACAATCATTGTTTCGCATGCACGAAATTTGTAGGTTTAACTAGACTTCAACTATAAAATCCTGTTTATACATAGGATTTTAATTAAAGTTCTTAATTTCCCTTTTAAATTTCGTGTATTCATATTTTAGATTGTACCTGACTTGCTGCTTTTCGTTGCAGATTTTCAATGTCTCCACGCCGACCTCGACCTCGTAGGAGTCGTTCTCATTCGCAGCACAGCGAGGAAGAGGTTCCTGCGGCATCTTATCCAGCGGTCTCTTTCTTTGGGGGTGAGAATTTATATTTTCTGTATCCCTGATTGACCTCTTCGCGGGTCATGAAGGAAGAACCGACACCCTCCTTCACGGGGGTTAAGGTTTCGGATTTGTTTTGCTTGGCCAATTCAAGTCTTCTGGTATATTGGGGCGATTTTGTGTCTTCCTACACCTTATAGGTCGGTGTATGTTACCACGTTATTTACGTGATGATGCATACCGTTCTTCCAGTGTAGGACACTCAAAATCGTCTCTCCAATTATTCCGTGAATGAGCTTATCTTTCTTCTTATGAGATGGATTTTCTGACTCTATCCTTGTGTTTTATTGCAGTTGAGTTTCCCACGGGTAGCCTTCCTCCTCATGCCAACACTGGTTGTAGCCGGGAGGTCTTCTCCTCAGCTTCTCTCAGGCAAGCCGTTGGTCCACTCCCTCGGTTTGACAGAGATCGTTCTGACGAATTCTATCGTTTGATACGGGAAGGAGGGCGTCATTGCTTGCGTCAGCTTATTACGGATGCCTCCTTTACTGCGGATTCTACCTCTACTCAGGCTTTAAAGAAGCCGAGTTTCCTGTTCGGAGATCACGTCGAGGATCCTGCTACGCTGACCCTTACCGAGGAACACTGGCTGACTCTCGACGAAGGAGCTGTTTTGTACATTCCCTCCATTCCGCGTCAATATTCTTTCACTCATTTGAAGGGACAGGCTGTGGAGCGACATGGCACCTTACTGATGATGCTGAGTGAGTCCAGTGTGGATATGCCTCTCATCACAAGACTCCTGGTTCTAGCGGGCATCATGATATTCGTGGCCTTCGACCAGGGATCATGGGCCTTGACACTGCACCCCCGGGCGAGGTGTCAGCAGCTGCTCCTACCGTGGGTAATCGTCTGGCTCTTCTGGGGAGAAGGTTACCTCCACCAGATTATAGATGCTATGGTTGGGCTTCCTCACTAGCCAAGGGGTGGTGGGCACGCATGACCAGTTTCGTCTTGGCGCGCTGGGAGAGGGATTTGAAGAGCAGTGGATTGTATGCACCTATACGAGCCACCATGTACGGAATCCCGGTCAGCTGTCGCCATTTCTTGGCGTTGTTAGAGACATACATGCCTGATAGTAACACCTTCCTGACCAGCGGCGGCGAGTTAGGGTTGGCCTTGCATGAGATGCATCAGGTTTCTGGTCTTCCGATGGGGGATTGTCCATATCAGGAGTATTTTCCCTCGAACCAGCAGTTGGAGTGGTTGAAGAAAGATACTCCCGATATGTATGACACTCTCTGGGATCTTACTTGTCACTATTATACCTCCTTGGCCCAGACTTCTCTTCTAGCGAAAAGGAAGAAGCAGATCAGTTTGAAGCAGTTTGCTAGCTATTTGTTCCAGAATTTGGAGGGTAATTCCAGCGAGCCCATTCGTGAATTAGATGTGTTGACCCCTACCGCCGTTAATGAGTTGGTGGAGAAGGCTGAGGCTCGTTCTTACACCATTGCCAGCGCTGAGGGAGCTTTTCCTGCGGGAACCAAGTTTCGTTCGTTTCTCTGCCGTGCACAGAAGTCCATTGGGTCCCGGACTCTACTAGCAGGCTACCTTGCTCTCTGGTTGAAGAAATGTGTTGTTCCGTACCAGCCTTCAGACGCTCTACCTATCGAGGTGCTCTTCCCTGCAGTTCAGCTAGCTTACGGGAGAGAGCTTTCTCTGCTCCCAGCGATGGTTGCTGGCATCCATTGCGGGCTTAGGTGTCTAGTCAGTAGTTTATGCAGAGGGGTTCTGAACCATCGACCGAGCTTATTTGTCCGAAGGTCGAGCTTCCTTATGCATATCTGATGGCGTGGCTCGTTCTCCACCGTCCCGACTTGATGTCGGCGCCCAGCGTTGTTGACATCCCCGTTCCTTTTATGCAGCTGTTGGAGAAGAGCAGATAGCTCGGGAACAAATTCAGTGATGTACAACGAGAGCTTCGAGTCCGTAAGAGCTGGGAGTTCTTCAAGTGTTTTCCTCATTTTTCGGGTCGCTACGGTGACGTGCTGATTGACGAGGAGAAACCTAGAAGTGACCGGACTGTTCTCGACGTTGGTTGTTTCCGCTGGTTAGTGAACATCCGCGTTGGGTATCTTGTTCTCCGGGTGAAGAATCGATGCCACATAGAGCCTTACATTCCCTGCCGCTTTGCTCGTCAGTTCGGCTATGACCAACTATATGTTGGGAATCCAAGCCGTGGTCTGCAGGTTGAGGGAGGGCTTATTGACGGCGTACGAGCATGGCTGTGGACTATGGTGGGCTGCACTGGAGCCCATTTTGCTCTTTGGTTAGTGAACATCCGCGTTGGGTATCTTGTTCTCTGGGTGAAGAATCGATGCCACATAGAGCCTTACCTTCCCTGCCGTTTTGCTCGTCAGTTCGGCTATGACCAACTATATGTTGGGAATCCAAGCCGTGGTCTGCAGGTTAAGGGAGGACTGATTGATGGCGTACGAGCATGGCTGTGGACTATGGTGGGCTGCACTGGAGCCCATTTTGCTCTTCCTTCATATAGGCGTAAGCCGCTGACCACTTTCCTCAGTTGCAAGTGGTTCCTTTCCGCTTATGAGTCCATAGGTGTGAGGAGCCTTTCAGAGTTACAGTCCGAGCACTCGGTCCAGGTTGCTGTGATGGCTGCTCGCAGGGCTGAGCTTGCTCAGAAGCAGAGAAAGGGGCCTGCCAAATCTCTTCTCCAAGATGATGAAGAGCTCCTTCCTACGGGTGATGACGACGAGACTTCCGAGGAAGAATATGTGGATGTAGATACCGACAGAGAAGAACTCGATACAGGTTTGTCATGCTCTTTGATTTTTTCCTTCTCCATTCTAATTGGTATAAACGACAGATCTTGTTCGTTTAATGAAATGACCATTGTCACCTTAGGTAGGACAGTTAACGATCATGAGTCGCCAGCTCCTCGTTATACGAGCCCAGGGCCTGACGATCGAGCTCCCACGCACGTTGAGACGTGTGACAAGTCTGTGCATGACCGACCTGTTGGTCCTAGGAGGGCTGGCGCCCCGAAAAGGAAGAAGACTGCTCATAAACCCCACGATGGCCAGCGTCCTTATGGAGTGGACTTAGGAAGCATCGCCGATGGAGGAGAAGGTAACATTTATTTTTATTGCTTTAAGATGATTTACCTCTTGGGATTCGTAACCATGTTTTATGCTCCAGGGTTCTTTGAAGAGGGCGAACTTCCACCGGGTCCGGTATCTCCTGGATCTGATAACATGGATTGCTTCATGCAGCAGATGTGCGACGCCCTTCACGACGGGTCTTTGGGCATCGATCTAAACATCGATCTTGAGCATTCAGGTAAATCTACATCCAATGATACCCTCCTCAAGCATGGGGAAAGAGAATCTTCTGTTTTTGCTGCAGGTATTTCTGAGCTTTCCTTTCCTCCTCATCTTCCAACATTTAGGTTACCCTGCAGATGTCGCGATGGAAAAGCCAGCTGAGGATGGAGCCTATCATGATATAGGCTTCGAGGAACGGGGGTGTGCTCCTGTACCAAGCTTCTCGAAACCCGATGCTGGCTTATTAGCTGACATGCTGGCTGAACAGACTGCCAGAGGAACCGTGAGACCACTCTTTGAGAGTGATTCATTCACAGGTATATATCTGATTCCCTTCATCTTGCCTGATCTTTTGTCTGACTAACGAAGGATTAATATTATAGCGCCAGTCATTGGGATTAACCCAATATCGATTCCCGGCATATCTAGCTTACCTCGAAGTGACGGACTTGCAGGTATGCATACGATCTTGGATGTCGCACTGCTTTTCATTCATTTTTTTTTCATTTTTTTAATGGATGAGTGTAATCATAGGACCAGCCGCTTGGGCCGATACCCTTATGACTCTTGGCATTCCCGTCGCATCTGATGACGGTGGGATTACCGGTAGGCATACGATCTTCTTGTCCCGATTCTCCTTATTTGTCCAAATTTTCATTTTGACTAATAAAGAAGTGCAACTATAGGACCAGCCGTTGTGCCTGATGCCACTATAGTTTCTGGGACTGATAGTTTGCCTGAGAGCGGTACCGAGTGGTATGAGCAATCTGCCTGCAGGGGTTGATATACCCTCCATGACCACTTCTGCCGCTATCTCGGAGTCTGTCGGACCTCAGCCCGAGGGGACCTCAGTCGGCATAGGTATGCTAGGAATTTGCCTTTGAATTTCCTTATCGTATTCGATAATCTGCTAAACTTCTATGTTGTTGCTTGTAGGATCTCGATCCTCTCTATATGAGCGTGTCCGCGTCCTTTTGGTCGATACCGATCCTAACAGAGACATTTTCCGTACGGACCTCGGCTTCTTCACTGCCTTTTATAACGGCATGATCGAGAAACTTCTTCATAGAGGATACAGTTTCGATCAGTTCAGGCGTTCCTTTTCTCGCCACATGATGATGATGAGGGAAGAAGGATACCCGGAATTGGCCGATTCCTTCACTGCCGATTTCACTGCCCTAGAGTCAGAGATCCGAGAGTTGAAGGAATTGGAGACTAACGGGGCTTCTTCTTTCGTGTCCTCTCAGCTGGAGCATAGGCTGGCACAGTGGCGTGACCCTGGCTGGATTAGAGTGTTCTCGTGAACAGGCACTCGAGAGGCTAGGATCCACCCAGGAGAGACTGATGAAGCTGAAGAGTGAAGCCGCGGAGATTTTGAGCAGTTCTGAAGAATCTGCTCGAGCTGATCTGCAGGCAGAACTCGAGCAGAGTTATGTAGATAGACTTTTTAGTTTAAAGTCTCATGTTCTCAGCCGCCAACTGCCTTCGGGCTAAAGAGCTTTTTATTGTATGCTTTTGACTCGATCTATTAATAGAGACTCTGCACTTGCTTCTTTCGTGATCTTTCTGCGTTTATTTTGAATGACAAGATTTACGGGATTTTTAGCAAACCCCAGCCCTCAACGGGTTTAATATGCCTTTACCGATTACCGTTTGAATCGGGCTAGCATGCGGATTGTCTAGATCCGTTCCACATGTAACGTTGTGCTAAGAGAATTGCTTTTCTTAGACTTAATGCTATGACTTTGAATACATAGACTTCACTATTTTTTATAGGGAAAAGGTACCCCGCATCGCGTATTAGGCGATGACTTATCCCTTCTTAGGCTTCGGGATAAAATTCCCCAGACTGGATTCTGGTGTTCGCGTATTAGGCGATGACTTATCCCTTCTTAGGCTTCGGGATAAAATTCCCCAGACTGGATTCTGGTGTCTTTTTCAATCGGTGAAAGACTAAACCGGGGATAAAATTCCCCAGACTGGATTCTGGTGTCTTTTTCAATCGGTGAAAGACTAAACCGGCAGCGCGTATTAGGCGTTGACTCATCCCTACTTAGGAGTTGAGATAAAATTCCCCGTGCACAAAAGTGCACGGATTGGAAGCTGGGAATTGTGTCCTTTATCAGAATAAAGACGGATTGGGAAACGAGAGAGGAAGAATTTTATATTCTATCTCCCGATATTCTATCTACAGCTGGAAAGGAAACTCGAGGTGGGATCTCCACCCCCAGAATCCGGAAGGATGAAACTAAGAGTGGGATCTCCACTCCGAGAATCGGAAAAGTTCAAACGGCCCTAACTTTTATAGGATTGGTCATTTGAATCAAAGAATCCCTCATTTATTGAAGGGAAAGCCCAATTTCAACCCTAACTTTTATAGGTTTGGTGGAAAAAGGAGCAAAGACGGATTTTCGTTTATCGAAAAGGAATAACTCGGTCTTAGTCTTAACTATTTGTAGGCTTGACTAAGTGAGATTTGGAACAATCCTAACTTTTATAGGTTTGACTGTTCAAATTGAAAGTGGATCTTTCGTTCATGGAAGGAATCGAGAAAGGAATTTGGCTTTGGCCCTAACTTTTATAGGTTTGACCTGAAAGCCAAGAAAGTGGAATACAGGTAGCAAAGAAAGTGCCAACTCGTATTATCACTCAAAGGAAGACTTTAATGCTAGGTGGTTAGGACCTAACATGTTGAGTTTGAGAAATACCAACGACGAGCAGATGGAAATGTTGGTGGATCCACCGTCGTTTAATTTGATCAGCGGATGGTTTGGTGAGGAAAGATTAACCTATCAGAGGATTGGATCTCATCTCACAAAAATAACTCATGAGTTAGAGAATTTTGATAAAAATAAGAAGAAACATTCTGACATTCAGAGTTCGAACGTAGATATCAATTCTACAGTGACTGGGTTATCCCTAAGAATACCCCATGTAGTATTCTTCTGGGAACTTCCCGATACATTGGTTATCCTGAAGATACTAAGGATAGTATTTTTTCAGGAACTTGCCGTTTATCGGCATCATAAGCCGGTCACCATCCTTGGTGACTAAGCGATATGCGCCACTCGAATAGACTGTCTCTATTACGAATGGTCCCTCCCATTTGGGTTCAAATTTACCCTTCTTCTTGGAGTTAAGGATCATAGGCCGCCTTTCAGCTAGAACCAAATCCCCTTCTTTGAAACTCCTTTGTCGAACCTTTTTATCGAAGGCTCGAGAAATTCTAGCTTGGTAAAACTCAATATGTTGTTGAGCTTCCAGGCGCTTTTCATCTAGTCTCTCGAGTTCTTCGAGGCGTTTCTGATGTTGATCCTCGGTCGTCATCTGGGTTGCAAGAGCGATTCGAAGAGACGGGATTTGAATCTCCAATGGAAGAACAGCTTCACATCCGTATACCAGTGAATACGGGGTTGCTCCCGTCGGTGTGCGCACCGTGGTCCGATAGGCCCATAGAGCCGCGCCAAGCTTGTCATCCCAGTCTCGTTTATTAGTTTTCACGATTTTTGACAAGAGTTTTATGATAGTCTTGTTGAAGGCTTCAGCTAATCCATTTGCTGTGGGATTATAAGCCGTTGACGAGATATCCCGAATTTTAAACTTTTCGCAAAACCTTATGAAGGCGTTGCTGACAAATTGAGGACCGTTGTCATGTATGATTCGTCTTGGAACACCATACCTGTAGATGATATGGTGCTTGATGAATGCAATGACGTTACTCGTTTTAACTTCTCTGAGTGGAACTGCTTCAGCCCATTTGGAGAAGTAATCGGTAATTGCCAGGATGAACCGGTCACCTTTGACTGATGGGGGATTTATAGGGCCAACAATGTCCATTCCCCAAGTCTCGAACGGCCATGACGTAACCGAAGGATGCAGATGCTCCGGAGGTTGGTGCATATAATTCCCATGTATTTGACATGCATTACACTTTCTGGCATATGCGATTGCATCACTCATCATGGAAGGCCAAAAATACCCCATTCTTCTGATGCGATCGTAAAGCTTGGGACCAGGTTGGTGTGCGCCACACTCTCCTTCATGCGCCTCCCTAAGGACCTCTTCAGCTTCTTTGGTTGATAAGCAACGTGCTAGCAATCCATCGTACCCCCTGCGGTATAGCGTTCGATTTTCCATATTATAGTAGAATCTTGGTGCCCTTCGTCTGATTGACTCTCTTTCCTTCACATCTTCTGGCAAGATTCCATGGAAGACGTAGTCGATGATGGGGAAACGCCAATCTCGCGGTTCGAACTCGACTTGAGTAGCGTGCACCTCTTGAACCTCTTCTTCCTTGGCAAACTTCATTGTAAAGCGGTACTAGGAGTTGGTGAGTTCTTACCGTAACAAACTGCTCTGCTTCGGGAGGTTGTGCCAGAGATACGGCCAATGCTGCTAACGCGTCTGCATAGGTATTCTGTAGCCGTGGAATATGTTCGATAAAGAATCCTTCGAATGATTCTGCCATCTCCACTGCCATCTTATGGTATGGTATCAAATCTTGGCTTCGAACCTCATATTCTCCTTGGACTTGTTTAACTATCAGCTGAGAATCGCCGAAGGCTTCGAGATACTCCACCCCCAGTTCTTTAGCAAAACTGAGTCCTATGAGTAATGCATTATATTCGGCTACGTTATTTGAGCACGGTTCCGTCAACGAGTAAGCTCGAGGCATCACGTGCTTTCCTGGGGAAACTAAAACAACTCCAACTCCAGAAGAAATCTTAGAACTTCCAGGAGCACCTGTGACAATAGCTGCTCGGGAAGCGCCATCGAAGTACAAACGCCATACTTGTTGGTGCGAAGTCGCATTGACTTCGTGGGCTTCGTCGGGTAGATCGTCATATATCTCGGCGGTATCCGTAGTTGGATTGTCTGCCAGGAGATCACAGATGGCCTGTCCTTTTACTGACTTCTGTTGTTTAAAATGCAAGTCGTATTGGGACAATAGTAAGGCCCATTTTGCTAATCGCCAGCTCATGGAAGCTGGTTGAGTCATGAACACTCGAACTGGGTTAACTTTAGAGATAACATAAATGGTCTGTCCAACCAGATAATGTCGCATCTTCTGAATAGCAAACACCAAGGCGAGACATTCTCTTTCAATCATAGGATATCGAGATTCAGCGCCTACCATGGTTCGGCTTAAATAATAAACAGCCTGCTCATGACCGTTATCGTCATCTTGTGCAAGTAATGCACTTAATGAGTGGCTCGTCGCCTTGACATAAATCAAGAACGGTTTGCCCGATTTCGGTGCAACGAGTACAGGAGGTTTCGAGAGATATTCTTTAATACTCTCGAACGCCTTTTGACAAGCGTCATCCCATACAAAAGATACGCCCTTCTTTGTGAGCTTGGAGAATGGTTGGCATTTTCCTGAGAGGTTCGAGATGAACCGGCGGATATAGGCTAATCGCCCTTGCAATCCTCTGAGCTCCTTGAGGTTTCTCAGAGGTTGCAATTCATTAATTGCCTTTACCTTATCAGGGTTGATGTGAATACCTTTGGTAGTGACAACAAATCCCAAAAATTTACCACTGGACATTCCGAGGAAAGACTTGGTAGGATTCATCTTCAATTGATGGGCTCGCATCAGGTCGAACA